TAGACACATTCCATAGAATATCTGTATGTAGTAAATAACTCCGTGCAAGAAAAAAAAAATGGGAACATTTGGTCATTTGTGTCATATATCTCATTTCCGTAATACATGTGCTGCTGGTCACTCACAGCAGCCAGGAATAGTGTGCAACATGGAAATGGCATCCTCTCTGGAGCCAGTGCTCTTCCAGTCACAGCTTACACACGTTACATTTCACATTCATTTATCGATAGGAATAATGCTAAAACCCCCTTCTAAGCACCAAATGAGTCAAATCACACTCCAAGAGGCTTGTGCACTCGTAGCAAGTCTTTTCTGTCACCTTCGCTCGTAACAGCAAGTCTGTGTCACCTGGCCCTCAGCCATTGTGCCCGATGATGGCATGTTCATGTCACTCAACCCTCGACCCAGATTTTTCCATGACGTGACAGTAACGTCATCTGGATCGTAGAGGTTAAAGGAAAATGTAAAGCCAATTATATTTACATCATGGATGATCTTATTCCAGATTTGTTAGGTGTGCACAAAAAGAGAGAGTTTCCAACTACTATGTACCTCCTCTAATGCATAACATTTTTTCTGTTCAGTAATTTATGGTGTTACATATCTAGGCAGCATACAATACTTAGCAGACTAATTGAGGATTTTTGCAGTTAGTATTTAGATGTACTAAAGTTTTATAGAGGAAACTGTTTATACCAACTTATTATTCAATTTTTAATGCATAATACTTCTTGGAGTTTAGGTGAGGCAAAAGTTGCTTTTAAAGGGTTGTATGATTTTCTTTACAAGCCAGATTAGATTTCAGATAGTAGGCTGGAGTAATATATGATATTAATCTCATGCACACATACATATGCATACACACATACAAACACATACAAGCATAGATGTAAACACAGACAGATATGTAAACACACACACACAAGCACACACTGAGTTACTGAAACATGCTAATCTGAGAATTTTTGTACAGGGCTATGTACCCCTTTACATTGGGTTTGAGAGCTTCTACACTCGAAATGTGTATCGTAGAATTCAAGACTGCTGGAACCGTACTATCTGCAGTGTTCCTGGAGCCATTATAGATCTTATGGAGCGAACTACACCTGATTATGGCTGGACGATGAAGTAAGTATCTTTAACAAAATCATATGCAATTTTTATATCCGATTTTTTTAAAATATTTGTTTTTCCCTTTTTTTTTAAGTATCCACTTATTTATTATTTCATGTATGTAGGGTGAAAATGTATGAGATAGTCCAAGAAAGATATATATATGAATCTGAGATAACAGTTGAATTTGTACCATATAATGTCTTTTTTAGCCTATAGGAACATAGATGGAAGCGTGGAACAGGAACAGCACAGCTTATTTGTGTTTACAAGAGAACTTAACTTTTCTTCCCCCTCTTTTTCTCTTTGATTACAGATTGACAGGCAAAATCATTAAATGTATAAATGTGGGCTCATATAACTACTTAGGATTTGCAGAAAATGTAGGCCCTTGCCACGATGCTGCAGAAGAAACAACGAAAACATTAGGTGTCACCACATGCAGTCCTCGTCTTGAACTTGGTAAGATCACTTTAGTATTTTCTTCAAAAGATGGAAATGATGCAAATAGATTGATTTATAAATGACCTGTAATGATTATTTTTTCTTTGTGTCTTATTCTCCTTCTTCTTTTTCTTCACAACGTACTTTGTATGGTCAGTGTTTTCAAATTCCTCTCCCTGACTCACACACAGACCCAGACACACGCTTCTTTTGATCACTATGTTATCCATGTATCCCCTCTATAAAGTGAAATAGGGGGAAAAAAGAACAATAATCATTTGTTTATACTTACATTACAGTTGTTTTGCTTAACACAACATTTCCTTCATTGAGAAGCGCTTTGCCCTTGCCATAAGTATTACTATAGAAAATTAGTACCCAAAGTATTACCAAAATAATTAATAATAATAATAATAAAAAATATATATTAGCAGATTAGTAAAAAGAGTATGCATAGATTTGCAAAAGATAATTGCAAAACAGTAGGTAAGGGCAAAGTGCCATCTAGTTTTCCTGGAAGTATGTTATACTGCTCATATTTTTACCTTTTTTTTCTTCTTCTTCTTCTTCTTCTTCTTTTCTTTTTTTTTTTCTTTTTTTTTTTTTTTCTTTCTTTTTTTCTATTTTTTTAAGTTGTGATTTTTTAATTGGTTGATTAATGTTCATGTATTCCTTTATTTGATTTTATTTCTTCTTCATCTTTTTATGAAAATGTAAGATCATATTTAAATCATTTATATGCTTATTTATATTAGTTTTTCATCGCTTGGCTTGTTTATTTTTCTTATTTGCTTATTAACATATTATTCCTCTTTTTCTGTGAGAGAGATAGAGAGAGGGATGGAGTGGAGAATATCATACATTTTTTACAATCTCTTATTCTAAAGTATATATTTTTCAATTCTTCTAGGAAGCATGGAAATCCACCAAAAGCTTGAATCACTGGTCGCTGAATTCTTAGGCGTGGACGATGCCATCACCTTCGGGATGGGTTTTGCCACCAATGTGCTCAATCTGCCTTCCCTCCTCGGCCCAGGCTGCCTTGTCTTTTCAGATGAATTCAATCACGCATCACTCATCCTGGGACTCCGACTCTCTGGGGCAACTGTGAAAGTGAGCTTTGCTTTCAAGTGGTTGTATTTGATATTTAGTTGTTATTGTTGTTATCATTGTTGTCGTTTATTATTGTAAACTACAATTGTCTCTTTTTATATATATATATTTTTTTTTCTTTCATTTTATTTGATCTAATATTTATTTATTTATTTGTTAAATTTTTTTTTGGATGCTATGATTTAACCACAGTTAGCCCAAGTAGTAGAGTAATTATATCATTATCAACACTAAATTTTTACTTCTTATCAAATTCACACAGGTTTTCCGGCACAACGACGCACAAGACCTGGAGAAGAAGCTGCGCGAGGCAATAATCTACGGGCACCCTAGAACTCGGCGGCCTTGGAAGAAAGCAATGATTGTTGTAGAGGGCATTTACTCGATGGAAGGCTCTATCTGTGATCTCCCTAATTTTATCAGAATAAAAAAGAAGTACAAGGTATTGAATCTGTTTATTTATTATTTAGGCACTTTACTGCTGGGTTTATATATGATTTGTATAGACTTCAGAATGTGTGCTTCATTCAGATTGCTTGTCAAATGTCTGTTCTAGTAGTTTTGAATGAAGAAGGTATACTATTTTAACACATGGGAATGATGACTTCTCTCTTGTCGGAGGTATTTTGAATACAATATGCGACAACAAGGGAAAAAAGACTAAATTTTTTTTTTTACTATACCCTGCTTGCTAAAAATAAAGCCATGAATACACATTGCTTGTTTGGATAATTATATCGATAACTCACTCACCCAAATCCATTTTCCTGCACCCCAAGACTTACCTCTACGTCGATGAAGCTCACAGCATCGGTGCCTTAGGTCCTCATGGTGGTGGTGTCGTGGATTATTTCGGCGCTGACCCCAAGGATGTTGATATTCACATGGGGACATTCACAAAGAGCTTTGGTGCCGCTGGAGGGTACATTGCTGGATCGAAGGTGAGAAAGCAAGTCTATTAGTCGCTCTGTTAGATTTAGTTTCCTTCTTGATTTCCTTTCTTCTTCATTCTGCCATCTGCCTTCTTTCATCACCATCTCTCAAGTCATGAATAAAAGTCATGGAATATTTTTATTCTGACTACTTATTGAAAAAAAAACTCTTGGAGCATCTTTACTTGAGATACAAACTTGGGCAAATAATATTGTTGTTTAGCAGACATCTTAAACTACATTATTTCTTATCTTCCCCCAGTCAGCAACCTCACAGGAGCACTGTAACCAAGGATAGAATTTTGTAAACTGTTCTATCTCTCACTGTAACCATGGATACCCTCATTTATGTCCACTGTTGTCTCTCTCTCCTCAGGATTTGATCAATCACTTGAGAGTCACTAGTCATGCGCAGATCTATGCTGCCTCCATGTCCCCTCCAGTTGCAGAGCAGATTATCACGTCCATGGCTACCATCATGGGCAAACAAGGAGATGGCGAAGGTTTGTGTGATTGTGTTGTCTTCAGGCAGAATTTTATATGCTCAGCTCTATGGGGGTACTGCCACACAAGCATATATAAAGTTGTTCACAGACGTAAACTTGCAAATATGTCCCCAAGAGCCCACATTCATCCATGCCCTCACAAACCCACACACCTATTCATTTACTCACACACCCATCCACCCACTCATCCTTCTATTCACTCACTCACCCGCCCATGCACCTACACGCTCAATCAATCAATCGGTCACGCGATTTATTCATTCTTTCAATTGATATATTAAAGAGCATGAGAGACTGTTATCCTCAGTAATTAAAATGCAGATAATTATCTTGTATTTCATTATTGTCAGTTCAAATTACTCTTTGTATTACTTAAATTGCCAGACATTGTAATTAGATTATTCACGAATCATATATGTTGAATTTCATCATGTAAAGTATATAATTTAATGCAGATCATAATCTCTATGTATGTATGAATATTGGTCATACCCAAAGGAACTCTTTTGAGGAATTTACTTGTTATGGTATTTTAGCATATGAAATGGAAAAAGAGAATTTTTCCTTAATGCGTTGGATTTGATTGTATCACGGAAATCACGATGCAGAAAATCCGGCCAATGTGTTATGCAAGTAGCCAACATCCCGGGCGTGCAGTGCGTTGGCTGAGCATGCGCAAACACCCTTGAGCGGTGACAACACTCTATGTCTCCACTTTGCAAAGTTATTTAGTGTAAACTTTTTTAAGGCTTTTGGACATTTTGCAATGTCCATATTTGTCTTTTGATTTGCTTTATCCAGATGGTAATATCTTATTTACCTTGCGCAGACTCTATATGGTCTCTCTATGTAGTACATAACTCAGTGTAAGAAAAAAAGTTTAGAAATCTTGGTTATATGTGTCATATTTTTGTAATTTTCAATTTTCCATAACACAACCTGCCCTGCGGTCAAAGCGGCCAGGAATACAGTGCACAGCATGGAAATGGCATCCTCCCAAGAGCTGTTGATCTTCTAGTCATGCCTTACCCCCATTACATTCCACATTCGCTTATTGATGGGAATAATGCAAAAAAAACCTCCTAAGTGCCAAATGAGTCAAATCACACTCCAAGAGGTTTGTGCTCTCATAGCGAGTCTTCTCTGTCACCATGGCCTTCGCTCATGACGGCAAGTTTGTGTCACCCGGCTCTCAACCCATATTTTTCCATGATGGGACCATAACATCATCCGGATCATAGGAGTTAATATTTTGTGTTAGGAGACTTATGTAGCTCAAGAGAATGTAAGCACTAGATGGATCTGTGTAACTTTTATCCCATGAGAGGACAAGTTACAGCCTGCATTGCACAATCCGTGGCATTCGTATAAAGTGGTTTGAGTTACCGTATACTCAATAACTTATAAGTTTTGTCAGATTTTCTCTTTATTAGTTGGTAATTTTTTGAAGGTTATCTAGCTTCTTTTTCTTAAATTTCTCAGTTACAGGTAAAGATGATGCACGCTAAAGCAATCTGTGACTGTCAACAATGTTCTGTGAGCGATTTTCAGAAAAGTATTGAGTTTCTCATGAAGTTCCTTTGGGCTCTTGACTCTTCTATTTCCTTTCTCTTCCTTTCTCTCCTCTCCTTTTCTCTCTCTTCTCTCCTTTGTCCTTACCTTGCTCATATCTTCCCCTTTTCCTCATTACTCCCCTACTTCTTTGTTATAGTATGCATACATTGGCAACTGCGCATCCGTTAGTGTATTTGTGTGTGTGTGTGTGTGTGTGTGTGTGTGTGTGTGTGTGTGTGTGAGAGAGAGAGAGAGAGAAAGAGTAAGAGTAAGAGAGAGAGAAAGAGTAAGAGTAAGAGAGAGTGAGAATGTCTGCCTGTCTGCCTCTGTCTCCATGTCTCTTTTTCTTAGTCTCTCTCTGTCTTTATCTTTTACTGATACTAATATGCTGTATATTTTTTAGATATGTCATAAAAGGTGTAGTTGTAAGTATATTAATCAGTAGATATATTTATACATATTGATGTGTTACATGTGCACATGCAGCTTATCTTAACCATTTTCTTCCATGATTTCCATTTTCTACTACAGTTTTGTAGCTAATTTAATTTTCTTTCCCAGATTACCTTGGTATTTTATTTAAATTCTGACTTCTGGTTTTATTTTAATTTTAAAAGACTTACTTTGGTTATGATTATTTAATATGTTTTTGATATGAACATCCTTGGTCACATTTTAATGTGATGGTGATTTTAACATTTAATATAGTACTGATTAGTATGATATATTACTATTTTTTATACATCTTTTATGATTATATATTTTTCCAATAATTTTCCTGTTCTCTCCTTTGACTTTTCATCAAAGCTAACTGTGCTCCTTGGGCTTTTCACATTCATATTTCTGTGGCAGGAAACACCCTCAGCACAAACCCATGCAAGGCCCATGGCCCCTTAGAGGGTGTCAACTTGGCTGTGGGGAGTGGGTTACTTTGGGACTTGGGGAGAAATAGGGAATAGGGCATAACATATTTTTAGCCATTTAGGCACAGGCATTAAGTAAGTTGGTATTGAGATATGATGTGGCAGTATGCTTTCTCTCTCTCACTCTTATTGTTTTTCTCTTTGTCTCTTTCTTTTCTTCTTTTCCATGTTATATGAGCACATTTTTCTGCAGTTTCTGCTGAGAAGGGGTAAGGAATAGTACATCAGGAATCTTGCTGTGGATGTTGAAGGCCATTTTTTTGTAATGACCTTTGTCTGCCTACCAAGCCTTGAGAAAACTGAACTCTATGCCCTTCTCACAGTTGACTGCAGTCTGCTCAGTGGATGGACAGATCATCTCAGATCATGGTGTGGTTTGTCAATGTTGGGAAACTGTATCAAGTAGATTTTCCAGCAGTTAGTTTGGACACCAGTGGTGTCGCAATTCCTCTAACCTCATCAGAACTGCCCATCAGTGAGGAACCTCCTACCCTGACTGAGGTTAGGGAGGATATCTCCAAGCTAAAGGGTGGGAAGCCTATAGGTATATGCAGTATCCCTGCCAACGTACCAAAGGTGGGGGATGAACCTATGGCACTTGCATGCATGGGCTTGCATGCAGTCCTGGCTGCCATCTTGCATTCCGGTTCCAACATGGACTGGATAATGGGCGGTGCTACTATCAAAAGTCAATGTGGGGCAACACTGGGCAATGTCAAGGTCACAGACCTTGACTTTGCTGATGATGTTCTCTGGAACCTCTGGTGGCAGCTCTTGATGTATTCAGCAATGAGGTAAAGTCCCTGTGCTTAGAGGTCTCCTGGACCAAGACAAGATCCTGAATTTTGGGGCCCTGTTAGAGGAACCTGTTCAGTCAATTCATGCTTGCAGTGTAGACTTTGAAGTCACAGAGAG